TTGCTGCCCAATATAATTTTGATTTTTGTATGTAATCATTTACATATGTTTGATTCTTTATATCCGTCAAAGAAGGACATTCGTTTAGGTGGTCTGCATCCATTTCCGCTTGTTCACATAATTTACATCTAGGATCCTCAGCCACGCCTATCTTGTGCAGATGACTTTGTAGATAGTCGTGACCAGTGGCCAGGCGGAAGCAGGCTACTGCATCTCTTCTTGGTAGGTCAGCTGGAATCGGGTTTTCCATCAAACATCCATAATGTTTCCCTTCCACCTTATCTTTGTGCATATTTTTTGTTTCCTCCTTCACTATTGAATCGTAGGATTTTGGATGGACTGTTTGTGGCAATTCTTCTCCCCTCCTGGCGAGACTATCCGCTTTCTCATTTCCTGGAATACCGCAATGGCTCGGAATCCACTGAAGGACCACATTGGTGCCTTGGAGTGTTAGATAGTAGAGAAGGGATTTGCACTCCAAAATAGCACTTGACATACATTTATTCACGTCAGTAATGGCGAGGATTGCTGCTTGTGAGTCGACAAAGAGAACAGCGTTCTGAACTTGCCTTCCTGATAGTGTTCTTAGGGCTTTGAGGATCGCTGCTATCTCACCGTCAAAATTCGTACCATCCTCACCCACCGCAGCACTGAACTGAAACTCTCTCGAGTAAACTCCTGCCCCAGCATTTTTGACGGCTGATTCAGGTGATCCGTCGGTATAAATGTGAAGCCAATCCTGAGGTGGGTACTTTTGAGCTATAGTTTGCAGTGCTATCGCTTTCAGCTCATATTCTGGTGTTTCTTTTTTATCCACCTTATGGAGTAGTTGCAGCTCTGCCCTGCTAGCGTGGTTGTGGATGGGAACTGTGCCTGTATAAATGGCTCCCTTTCTTCACAGTCCAGATCTCTTTCTTCAAGTAAAGCCTTCGCTTTTAGCATGAAAGATTTTTGGGTCTTGAGCCGTTGAGTTGAGATTTTGTATTTTTTCCAAAACTCTGGATTCGTTCTTCTCATTCCCTTGTGGAGACACATTGCAGCTTGGTCACGCCGTTTTGAAAGGGGTTCTACTGTAGTCTGCAGTTCCATAGCTGCAATAGGAGTTGAGCGCGGTGCGCCCAAAATTAAACGCAGTGCTTTGTTCTGCTGGCTGTCCAGTCTTTTCCGGGATACATTAGCCGCAGTACAGATGACTTCAAAACCGTATTCCAGTACTGGGCGTACATAGGTTTTATATGCAAGACCCATCACATCCTGAGTGGCCCCCCATGTCTTTCCTCCAATGCGTTTTAAAAGCTTAAGCCTGTTTTCTCCCTTTTCCACCATATCTTCAATTTGGCTGTTCCAATTCATTTTGGTGTCTAACCTAACTCCCAGGTATTTGCCTGCATAGGTTCTTGGCAAGGGAACATTATTATAAATGACTTCCAGCTCGTGCACTTTGGTTGATAACGTGAACAGTTGAAATTCAGTTTTCTGGGTGTTCACTTCCATTTCATTTGATATGGTCCTGGTAAAAAGTCTTGTCATTGAGTAATTAATTGCTGCTTCGAGTGCTGTTATGCTGCTACTGGTCGCATATATTAGTAGATCATCAGCGAACAGTAGAGCAGATATACTACGAAAACCAAAACATAGTTATTATTTGCTTTTGGCGCTATTTTGTTTCCCTCTCTAACACGGCGTCGTGTTAAGATACAATTTTGAATAATAGCTCATTACAAAGTAGATGAAATGCTGGAAATTTTTCTTGCATACATGATGCATGTTCAAATTTTTGTTATTGAGATATTTTAATCCATATGTTCAACAAAACTCGTCATCATTTGATCAGCGTTATCACTATATTTTGCCCCTCTATGCCTCTGTAACACAGCGTCGTGTTACGATACAATTTTTAATAACAACTCATCGCAAAGAGTATTATATTTTCCATATTACTCTCTTTTTTTTTTACATTTGCTTGGACTCTTCGGTCACCTAAGTAATCACAAAAAGACTGAAATTCTGACCATTTCCCTCGCTATACAGTATGCAGGCCATGTTTTTATTTTCTGAGACATTTTAATGTAAATGCGAAAAACTTTAATTAGGCAACTCGAGCCAACATTACTCAGATGGTTATTACACATTCGATTGTGATGGCCCGATCCCATTCACTGCCCACAAAAAACGTTCAAAGAAGTTCACTTCAAAAAATAATAATGGTTTTAGAGTATAATATACAGTACATATAATTCGCAGGTATTGTTTGCGAACACTTACAGAGTGGTTGAATGGTGCTCATAGATGTATGCCATTTGCAGTTCCAAAGATTTAAAGGGATGCTACGTTTTGGGGTGTGAAATTTATTCGGGATGCCACTGGATAATTATTGATGATAATTATTCAGAATTATTTAATATAAATTAATAATAAAAAATTAATAAAATAAATTTGGATCTATAATATATTTGGTCCATGATTAATTAATTGGATTTGTTTTCTCAAAGGCTGGTTTGTGTTTATCATGGTTTCTATTTACCAACATTAATTGTGATCATCATGATATATAGGTGGCGGAATTAAAATAACTTTTACTAAAAAACTTAATTTATTTCTATGTCAAATAAGGAATATATACAAATTATATCCACAAGAAACTAAATACGTGATTCAATGAATTTAATAATTAACTCTGAAAGTATGATTTCAGATGGACTGTTTTGAGAATTATTGCCATGAAATATTATAGCATTACGATTGAAAATTACAACTTAGCTATTGTGGTATGTGAAGTGATGTAAGTAGTAGATTTCATCGCTGCATCTACTGATCCGAGGTCATCTCGTCAAGCCCACCTCCAAAAACTGCCAGGATCACATCCATCTCCATGGTCTATGTAGGGCCAAGGCTTCAGTCTCCAAGTCAGAAAAAAAAACATATGACCTATTCTCAAGGCCGGAACTCCACATCAGACCAATCCTCAAGGCCGGACACCAACATAAGACCTCTTTTCTTAATTCCTGGCGTATCATATTCAAATATTCAGGGTGGGGCAAGGATGGTTTTCATTGGTTCTTAACTTTACCCTGCTACTTCCCAATAACTGGTAACACCCTAAAAGGAACCAGTTACTTAGCCCGTTACTAGTTTTTACTCTGAGCCTTCCCCAGGGTCCAGGTACAGGTCGGTCCTTGCAGGTTCCAGGTAGATACTTGATGTGTTTGGTGTCAGGATATTCCAACTTAGTTTTCTACACCTCCTATAATAATATAAAAAACTTATTTGCTATGTCCAATACATAGCAGAGACAACTTTAGCATTTATATCGAAATTAGTTTCATTAAAAATGTTAAAATACAATCAAACAAGCGATCGCTGTTAACAATTTTTTTTTCGGAATCATTTTGTTTATATTTTTTACTATTTTATTTTGGTTTTTTCACGTGTTATAAGGAAAGGAGATGGAGCAGTGTTAGCTTGTTCTCCTCTGGATAAGCTTATGAACTGCTTTAAGCGGCCAAGATAAGGACCTGCTTCAATTCGTTTCATGATAACGTAAATACTAGGATCAGAAATATTTATTTTGTCACTTATAATTCATTTCATAATCATTCAGTATTGTTTATAAATTTAAGTACTATTTAGATAATCTCGAAGTCTAGTTGATAATTGGCATTTTGTATTCATTAATCAGCATGTATCAGAATCAAATAACGAACTAATATAATTTCAGAACATGTTTATTAACACATTTTTTGTTTTCAGATAATTAAGATATTACATAATGTATTGAAGAGAAGAATAGTTGGGGTGCTCAGTCAAAAAAGGAAGGCAAAAATAAATTATAATATTTATTTTTTAGATCTGCCGACGTTTCGACCTGAAGTTCAGGCCATCATCAGGGCTAAGAAAATAACCAGATAACAAGGTATGAGAAACTTAAGTAATGATGGTAAAAAAGATAATAACAAAAAAAATGAGAAAATAAAATAGATTAGATCTAGATAAAATAGATCTAAATAAAAGAAAAATAAAATAGATAGATATAAAGTAAAATAAAATTGTTAGAATAATGACTAAGAACTAAGAGATAAATAATACAGACTGTTACATAGTGTGGAATGATGAAGTAGGCATAATCAAAAAGGGGGTGAAAAAGTGTTACATTGGGAATCTTAGAATAAAATGTAGAAACATAAAAAAGAAATATAAAGTTATATAAGAAATGAGAATAAAATAAATAGTAAAATTAAAACATTGAGAATGGAGTAGTTTGATAGAAAATTGAGATATTGTAAAGTCTAGATTGTAAAGTCTAGTAAAGTCTAGTTGAGATATTGTCTGTACATCTTGATAGACTTTACAATATCTCAATTTTCTATCAAACTACTCTATTCTCAATGTTTTAATTTTACTATTTATTTTATTCTCATTTCTTATATAACTTTATATTTCTTTTTTATGTTTCTAAATTTTATTCTAAGATTCCCAATGTAACACTTTTGTCACCCCCTTTTTGATTATGCCTACTTCATCATTCCACACTATGTAACAGTCTGTATTATTTATCTCTTAGTTCTTAGTCATTATTCTAACAATTTTATTTTACTTTATATCTATCTATTTTATTTTTCTTTTATTTAGATCTATTTTATCTAGATCTAATCTATTTTATTTTCTCATTTTTTTTTTGTTATTATCTTTTTTACCATCATTACTTAAGTTTCTCATACCTTGTTATCTGGTTATTTTCTTAGCCCTGATGATGGCCTGAACTTCAGGTCGAAACGTCGGCAGATGTAAAAAATAAATATTATAATTTATTTTTGCCTTCCTTTTTTGACTGAGCACCCCAACTATTCTTCTCTTCATTATCCACGACAGTCAACCAATTACCAATTATGTACATAATGTATTGTTAATGAATATTCATTTAAGAAGTTCTAGTTATTGATTGCAATTATATTTTATACTGGTGAATTGTGATTAAGATTTAAGTTGATGTACCGTTGCAGCTGAGCTGGAGGAGTACCTGCGGCAGATGCTGCTGTCCGGGGAGCTGCGGCGGGAGCCCCCGGTGAGGGGCCGCCTCCACCGCCCCTGGTCGCACGCCCTGCCCGAGCAGCCGCCCCCAGCCCCCGCACTCCCGCAGTCGGACTTCGCAGTGCCGCCCTCCGACATCAGGTTCTTCCACCCTCGTCCTTCCAGCCTACCTCAGCAAGTATTTTACAGTAAGTACCATAAGCAACAAAACATAAAGGAAAAAAAAAAATGGTTAGCTAACATCTTTGAAAGTATTTCGTAATTACTTGTATTATATTGTTCAATAAGTTCGTTTGTTGTTATCACCACATTTTAGAAAGAAATTAAATTTTATCCTGGGATATTTAGTCCCCTCAGAATAACTATAATGAACAAAGAAATGAAGTTGTCTGGCGATTATGAATAATTTTTTTTTTTTTTTTTTTTATTGGAAAATATTACAATCTGTCTCAAGGACATTTATAATAGTGTTAACACATCACATTCACACTCTATGTATAGTAAATAAAATAAATTATACAGAAAAATAACATATTTACAATAAATAAGAATAAAATAACCTAAAAATAAATAAATAAAAAGAACACATACATTCCTATATTCAATATTTACAATTTGGGGAGGGAACTCCAAACCAGACTTGTTTCTCCAAGTGTGTAGGGAAAAGATGGCTCCAGGAGATCCCAGCACTTCTCACGTCACTGGGGCTAAATCCAGTGGAGATTGAGTAAGAGTGCTTAAGCCACATACACTCATGTCGTGAGTGGAGAATCTGGCCATTGCCAGAACTCCAATATTTACAAACTATAAAAGATCGCGGGGCCACTGCCGTTTTAACCTCCTTGGAGGATTATATGGATGGGTGGTGCTGGATAGAGATTGTGCAAAGGGATTTGGATGATGGGTAAGGTTCTGGTGGAATTTGGAGAATTTTGATGGGATAAGATCTAGGATAAATGGGATATTAAGGTCATGGTGTAGGGTTTTGTTGGTTACATAGAAAGGAGCATCGACTATTGTTCGAAGGACTTTGGATTGAAAGGATTGGATGCGTTTGATGTTAGAAAATTTTGCTGTTCCCCACAGTTCAAGTCCGTAAGTCCAGATAGGTTTCGATATTGTCTTGTAGATCAGTAACTTGTTTTCAATGGAAAGTTTAGATTTCCTGTTTAGTAGCCGGTATAGTATGAATAATTAAATGACAATTAAAAATAAATTAATTTACAAAAACACTGTAGTAAATATATGATCTTGAAGTAGACTTATGAATTTAAAGATGAATACATACTGGTAAGCTCACTTATTTGTACAAATAAGCAATATCACACATACATAGATATCAGCAAGATATCGGTATAATGTAGCTGACATATCTAAAATACAAAATAACTTTATTTTTACATATATTCGGAAGATTGATAACTTAGGAAATGGAAAAATAAAGTGTACGTAAATAAGGATTTTCGTATAGAGGTTGGTAGAGAATTTCAAAATGAGGTAGCACGTACGACGAAGGATTTTTTAAAGGAAACGGAAGGAGTTCTAGAAAAAGGAATAAACAAATTTGAGGATGGGGATCTCGTGTTGAGGGAATGAACAGAGGAACAAGGAGTAAAGATATCAAGAAAGCAAGAAGGTTTCTTGGTTGTAAAGGTTCGGAAAAGGAATAAACCTCGGAAATATGGATAGACCCACTTCAACTCCACATAGCAACTGGAGACGTGGAAGCGCCTGGGGACTCCAAGTATAAATCAAATAAAACAATTCATTAGTCTCTTTAATCTGACCTCAAGCCCAGCAGACAGACCACCGAATACAAGGCAGTCATAATCGAAGTGAGAGAAAATGAGAGAGGAGACTATGACCTGGCGGCACGGGCGGATCTACGGAGGAGAGGGGGGCTTTCGGGCTGAAGCCCCCTCCAAAATGGCAAAATATAACCATGTTTTATCGAAAAAAATATAAAAAAGTATCTCTTAAAGTATTATTGTTCGTATGATTAATATTAAAAGGGCTTTAGGAATCCCTTAAACACCATTTCATACAGGTAGTTAGTTTCTTTCTTTTTTTCCAAAGTAATTATCGTTATTTTTATGAAAAAAAAATCTTTCGGGCTGAAGCCCCTCCAAAATTAAATCCTGGATCTGCTAGTGCCTGGCGGATTTTAAGGGGCATAGAGTCAGGCGCGGATCCAGGATTTAATTTTGGGGGCTTCAGCCTAAAAGATTTTTTTCTCATAAATATAACGATAATTACTATGTAAAAAAAAGAAAGATACTAATTACCTATATGAAATTTTGTTAAAGTGATTCTTGATTAAATTTAATTACACGAGCAATAATACTTTAAGAGATAATTTTTTATATTTTTTTTTCCATAAAACATGGTTATAGTTTACCATTTCGGGCTTCAGCCCGAAAGCTCCCTCCGTAGATCCGCCTATGGAGTCCCGGAATCTCAGGAACTATTTGAGGGTAGCAATGGACTTTCGGATAATTTGCTAAATAAGATTATTCCAGTACAGATGTTGATCAAACATTTCCCCAAGTTTTCTTACGGGAGTGTGGAAACGTATGGGTATCCCATTGAAGTAGAGTAGAGGATAGTAAGAAATGAGGTTAATCAGATGCTTGGAAGAGGTTAATCAGGATTTATACGGATTCTGTAGCATATGACACCTGCGCTTACCGTAAACAAATATAAAAGCTTATCACTATTGCATCATATGAAGAATATGCATCTGTTTTTAATTAGTTGGCCTAACCTTAATAGCCTTAGCCGATTATTATAATCAAAAGTCACTTGTACCGATTCGGATTTCGGAACACATATTTAACGGTTACCAAGTTTTAATTTAACGATTTTGAGCAAAATTTAATAACTTTCTCTGTCTTCATAGGGCCTTCTAAGTTGTCATTAATAATGAAATAAAGCTCAAAAGAAACATAAATTTAGGTTTACCTCAAGGACACATATTTATTTTTCAGTTGGGTATACAGATCTTGTATATTTTTAGATACCTTAAACAGCCTTCTCAACATCTGTCATTACTGCCTTTAGGTGGACAGTTAATTCTTTGTCCAATCTTCACCTTCTTCCGAAGATATAATCCATAAGGATGGTGGTGGGTCTCAACGACGGATTGACTTTTGACACCTAAGCTTTCTTGACACCTGAGGTTACTTTATTCTCTTCTGATTTGATTGGCACGCCCTCTGATTTCTTTCTTATGGTCCTGGAGCCCTAGAGCTACTCAATTCCCTTTCTCTCTTCACCTCTTCGGAACTTCTTTAGACTAGGCTAATCCTATTCAAAGTGAACTATCTTAATCTTCAACTTAGGTCTCCCTGTTTTTACAAACCCTACCTTAAGATCATTATATTTCATGACTTATATACTTAGTACTTATAAACTTAATTAGTTTCCTTGTCTGCGGAATTCCCATCTCGGGTTAATCTTCGGCACTAGAGTTCTTCATCAAATGGAAGGCTTCCCAAATCTCTTCTTTAGCTCAGCCATCACCTTATACATATACAACTTTTTTTTTCCAGCAGGAAATTTAAATACCTTTGAAATACTTGATAATATAAATCACAAACAAAGGTGTACACTTTTTGACATAAATGGAAGTCTCATTTTGCATTTCTCGTAACTTATTCCGCATCTTCATCGTGAGATCGATACCAAAATTTCTAAACGATCGATGCAGTAGTATCGGAGAAAAGCTGTACAAGGTGAACGGACGGGCTTTTTTGTATTCCATTTTCGGATTCTACGTATTTTGAAATTTTAATATCACTTATATTTATTGATTTTTTAAAATTTTTTTTGAGTCGTTAAACCAAACAATTGAACGAAGTAAGAATTTGGTTTGTGAATAACCTATATTTAAATTATGATTTAGTTCCTGGGAAGCTATTCTGAACTTAATATTGATATGATAAGTTAACTGTATCATACTTAACGTTAAGTAATAAGTCTCTTAAGGAGATACTAAAAGATACTCTACTTGAAACTTTGGTATGAACGTATCATGAAAAGAAAGAGAAAGCCCCATCTGAATAAGCATTAAGATTAGCTGAGCATTTGGTTCTACTTAACTGACTCGAGCACAGACTCTGGGTTTTATAGCTTCAGTTCCCTCAGTGGCCCTATCTACTATTTAATCTGGGCTTAATTAAACTGCCTGGAAATTATATCGTTGGACCTTATCTAGGGCTGTAGGCTTCATTATTCCAAATTTAATTACTCTGTTTTTTGTTTCATTATTAACCAGCAGGTCTTTACATTATGTTCCCTTCTTGGAGCAAAATGTGTCTAAACTACATAATCCTTACAAATACTAACCCTATGCTGCAAACACTCTTCCGAATTTGGAAGTTATTTTCAATGTATTATTTTTCTCTGATTAGATTATTCCCTTACAAATATACTTTATTTTACGAAAAGCAGCATTGAATATTTTAAATAGCCCATTTAATGAGGAAATCATACTTGCTACGGTCCATGTTGCTTGATTTTGATTACCCGTTGCAAGCGCTTCAGGCCGCTCACCCATCCATCAGCCCCAGTAGTGGATCCAGTATTTAATTTAGGGGGCTTCGGTCCCCATATTACTTAAAAAGAAAAATAAAGAAACTAACTCTCTATATTGAAATGGTGTTTAAGTGATTCCTTGAAGTTCTTTTAAAAATGTAATTAAATAATTAAACGAACAATAATCCTTGGTAATATGTAGGAGCTATCTATGGATTATAATTTTTAAAAAAGAACATATTATATTAGATATTTTTTTCCAAAGATTTTACCGGACAAGGGGAGAAGGCGGTGGATTAATGGCAGCGTTAAAAGCCACCCGCTCCATGACACTGGGACACCAACTTATAATTAATTCATATCTAATAGACATAGGTTTCTGGGCTGAAGCCCACCTCAAAATGGAATGATTTTTTTTCTTTCATTAGTCTATATTTGTTACTGGAGTGATATAAGCTTAAACAACTACAATATGTTCTATTTTTATAATTCGAATGCATTTGCAGCTATTAAAATTACCACGTCTTATGAAAAAATATCTCTAAAACTATTACTGTTCGTGTTACATTTTTAAAAATACTTCAAGAATCGCATAATCACCATTTAATATAAGTAGTTAGTTTCATATATATATATATATATATATATATAT